GGTGCACAAGCAACGATTGCCCAGCTGCACGAATCTACTTTAAGCAGAAATACACCAAGCCGGTACAACTTACACGGTTACAATAACAGTCCATAGATGCTGCATCAACGACACCATTAGCACACTAGATGGGTCCCACAGCGGACGAAGAACTCTGGAGAGAAACATGTGTTCGGCACATGTTACCGGCCGTTCCCCGGCTCGCACTCACGACTGCTTGGTGTGCAGGACTAAGCGAGTGCTGAGCACGCTTCCCGCTAGCCGGCTCCAATCAAAAGTCAAGACTCGCTCACGTGATCATGTGATGTGCAGTGGCCACAGCTAAGGTATCACAGACTTTACATACAATGCTACAGTAGCTGGCTGCATGTTGACTCATCAAACAAAACAACGACCTGCCATCTAATCAAAACTCATGAAGCCGCTGCACTCACTGCGAACCCTCAAGCGGCTGCGTCGGGGATGCCTTGGCCTTCTTCGCCGCCTTAGCCGGGCGTTTCTCCTGTGCGATCCTGAGTGGAGCGATATATTAGGGCGTTCGGGGTTAATTTAGGGCGGGATATTAGGGTTGAGGGCTTCAGGTAGGGGTTTGGGGCCGTGCGATCCCGAATGGAATGGTAGGGCGGAAGCTTCCATACATTTACGCAGCAACAAGAACCTGTACGGAACAAGCAGCATACAACATAGGGCTTTCGGCTCCTTTACCCTCACTCTCGGACTAAGCCTGGCAGGAGCGGTTTAAGGTGTTAGGGGATTAAGGCTTTGTATAGGGGTTTATGGCTTTATAGGGTTGAGGGCTTTAGGGGTTTAAGGCCTTATAGAGGGTTATAATAAGGTATAAGGGTTTATTTGGGCAAATTATCAAATGTTCTGTCTCGCTATATTGTTGAATCCAAAGCACAGTCCATTTGCCACCCTCGTGTGCTTCTTGAACGCTTCCACGTACATCGCAGCCTGAGATATGTTGGTAAGCCACACGATGAATACGCATGGAAAGCAGCAAACTCACTGTATATCTGCACAGCACGGCCACAATCATGCAATCAAGTGCTACCGACAAGGAACAGTCAGCAACACAGTCTGGACATCAGCTGCAACCGGAGCTGTGCCGAGCGCTTGGAGCTGCTTCCGGCACTGATTGAGGCCTTCGGATGCATCCTTCAGCTTGGCGATCAGGGAGTCCTGGAAGTCCAGAGATTCCAACCTCGATCACAGCACAATAACATGCCGCCCGGTTTCATCTAACAGGGTTTTGATTTCTCTCTCGAGAACAGTAAGCAGGATCGAAACAAAATACACCAAGGAACTCCCCGCACAACTTCACGGCTTGACCCTGGGCCGAGTTGGCAGCTGTGCACCAGTTGGCAACGAAGGCGCCCACGTCTTCCGTGCACACGTGGACTTCCAGCTCCGATCCCTCGCAAACACCATCATACCATCAGACTGTACGAAACACGTGCACTGAAAAAACAATAATGCACGACCTAATCCCTCAATGTGATTCATCATGCACAATATATATATATATATATATATATATATGGTTTAATCAAAAGCGAATATGCCCTAACAAAAAGAAGCATCACCTAAATAAGTCGTTTTCTAGAAGAACAAGCCCGAAAGCCTTATGTAATAGCCTTATGTAATAAGCTAGCTTAGGTTAAGCCATTCATGCGTTCATGCTTGCGGTTAGGATGTATCGCTCGTTTAATAATGCACCTCCGGCTTCGGCAGTCGCTGCTTCTTCGGGTTGGACTGCTGCGAGCCGTCGTTGGCCTTGTTTTTTGCTCCTGCTTTTGCGCTAGCCTTTGCCGCAGCAGCACTTTCCAGCGGGGAGTCTGGCACAGAAGGGCTGCCACTGGTCGACGCAGGTGCCGGGAGTGCCGTTGTCGGTGCTGTCAAAGCCGCCGGCCCATTCTGGCCATCCAGCATCGCCGCAACGCTCGCCGCGTACGAAGGGGACACACCCAGCTCAACCGCAATCTCATCAAGCGTCCTGTTGACCACCGACCGCTTCTGCCGATTGTAGTAGAGGAAGGTCTCAACTGTCGAATCGTTGCGGTCGGTGCTTGTCCTGCCCGATAGTGTGTGTCGCAGTTGCATATAGTATAGTCGTCGTAGTAGTACGTAGGTCTTAATTCGCATGTACTATAGACACGTCTACGTACGTACAGTTGCATGCAACTCAAGTCCCACGTGGCTCAGCTCGGCGACGAGTGATAAAGGCTAACGCTTTGTCGGCGTCGTTCGAGTGAAAGGCCAGGATATCGCTCCAGCGATAATATTCACCTGGACAGCATAGGATCGTTGCATATAGCTGTATGGCGGAGCACGCACACAGCATATTCCCTTAATGAAGCCTTGGCCGGTACAGTGCCTTTGGCTGAATGTTTGTACGTCTATGTGGGCTTCAGGATATCTGCTCAAACCTAAAGTTCTGTTCAATTTCACATCCTATTTTTCATGGTGCATATCCCTTGCTGTTTTCGTCCTGTCAATTAAGGACAACACTATGGCCATTGAACGTCATTGACATATAAACCCCGATGCCAATTCTCAAGAAACTCCAAACCCCACAGATTCTGGCAGGGTACCCTCGTCACGGTCTTCCTCTTCGCGTTGCCGCTTGAAGCGGAGAGCCGCCTCCATAGCAAGAGGATCACCTGATTGGACACTGGGGGGACGGGGAGCTTAATCATATTGGTGTTTGGTAGGTGTGTTGCCATACAAATTAAGCCCTTAATACATAGTTCCCTATAAGACGTTTTGCTCCAGAAGGCTTCAATCAATACCTCAGCATAGTAGGTGCAGCTGGGAGCGAACAGTCTAGTCCGAGACTCTGCTACAAACAAAAGACTTTGGGCACGAAAGCCTCGCAATATATGATAATAGTATAGGTCTATACTACATCCCTAAACCCTAATCCGTGCCTATATATGGGCCCAAATAATCAGCAAGAAGCGGTGCATGAGAGTTGGGGCGCGTCATCAGGGCTTAGGGGCTCCCATATATATATATATATATATATATATATATATTGTCTATCTCCAAATCTGTCTTCTGTTATGTTTACTCTATATACTATATATATACACACACATACCTTATAACATAAGCTATGGGTTTGCATGATAAGGTTTGGGGTTTAGGATTTAGTGAAATTTAGTGCACAAAGGTTCAACACTACAAGTTTGGGTTCTATAAGGTTTAGGGAACGATGTAGTCGGGTGTTTGGGGTTTAGGGCAGCGTAAAATTGTATAGGTGCCATCCCAGTGACAGCCACTGGCCACGAACTGTGCGAACACAGCCATCCGACGGGGTCCGCCCTGCACCCAAACCTTCTTCATTTCATCTGCACCCTTTGATGTCTCACAGAAGCGTCCAAAGGCCCGGTATTCCTTCGGATGGGTGGAACTGTTCACCTCCAGCTTGATCGGTGCAGCAGGTGGAGGCGGGGCACCTGGTGCTGGTGGCGGCAATGAGGATGGCGGTGCCACATCCCCTGCTGCTGCCACCGCCGATGCTCCCTTTGGCAATGGCTGAGCCTGGACAAGTGCTAGAGGTGGATTTGCGCTCACTGCTGGGCCAGGGGCCTCGCCGGCAGGTGCTGGAGGCGGATTTGCGCTCACTGCTTGGCCAGGGGCCTCGCTCGCAACCTGGGCAGCTGCTGGAAGCGGATTTGCGCTCACTGTTTGGCCGGGGGCCTCGCCCGCAACCTGCTGCTGCTGCTGTTGCTCTGCTGTTGGCGCTGCTGCCTTCTCAGCAGCACTCGCGTTCAGCAGCTGACTCATGGTGCCCTGGAGCATCTGGATCTGCTCCGCAGACAACGAAGATCCATTCTGCAGAGTCTGAGCCAGCACCGTCGCTAGCAGGCTTGTCATTGCATCATCTGCAGGCGGAGTGCTGGGAACTGTCGCTGTTGCAGCAGAGGGAGGTGCAGGCGGTGACCTGGGAAAGAAGAAAGTCGACGGAGTCGGGGCTGGCATCTGGATCTCTTTCTGGTCAGGGGCTGCTGGGCTCGCTGCCATTGGTGCTGGCACAGCCGCTGCTGGGGCTGTGGGTGCAGTCGAGGTCAAAGTTGGCACGGCTGCTTCTGTTGCTGCAGGCAACGTCGGAGTCGGACCTGTTGGGCTCACTGGCACTGCTGCCGGCACTGGCACTGCTGCCGGCACGGGTGCTGCTGCTGCAGGCAACGTAGAAGTCGGAACTGTCGGGCTCACCACCACTGCTGTTGGCACGGGTGCTGCTGGTGCAGGCAACGTAGAAGTCGGAACTGTCGAGCTCACCGGCACTGCTGCTGGCACGGGTGCTGCTGCTGCAGGCGGAGTCGGAACCGCTGTTGGGCTCACCACCACTGCTGCTGGCAAGGGTGTTGCTGGCGCAGGCAACGTAGAAGTCGGAACTGTCGGGCTCACCACCACTGCTGCTGGCAAGGGTGTTGCTGGCGCAGGCAACGTAGAAGTCGGAACTGTCGGGCTCACCACCACTGCTGCTGGCACGGGTGCTGCTGGTGCAGGCAACGTAGAAGGTGTTGTTGGCGCAGGCAACGTAGAAGTCGGAACTGTTGGGCTCACCACCACTGCTGCTGGCACAGGTGCTGCTGGCGCAGGCAAGGTAGAAGGTGTTGCTGGCGCAGGCAACGTAGAAGTCGGAACTGTTGGGCTCACCACCACTGCTGCTGGCACAGGTGCTGCTGGCGCAGGCAAGGTAGAAGGTGTTGCTGGTGCAGGCAACGTAGAAGTCGGAACTGCCGGGCTCACCACCACTGCTGCTGGCACCGGTGCTGCTGGTGCAGGCAACGTAGAAGGTCTTGTTGGCACAGGCAACGTAGAAGTCGGAACTGTCGGGCTCACCACCACTGCTGCTGGCACAGGTGCTGCTGGCGCAGGCAACGTAGAAGGTGTTGCTGGTGCAGGCAACGTAGAAGTCGGAACTGTCGGGCTCGTCACCACCGCTGCTGGCACGGGTGCTGCTGGTGCAGGCAACGTAGAAGGTCTTGCTGGTGCAGGCAACGTAGAAGTCGGAACTGTCGGGCTCACCACCACTGCTGTTGGCACGGGTGCTGCTGGTGCAGGCAACGTAGAAGTAGTCGGAACTGTCGGGCTCACCGGCACTGGTGTTGGCACAGGTGCTGCTGGCGCAGGCGGAGTCGGAACTGCTGTTGGGCTCACCACCACTGCTGCTGGCACGGGTGCTGTTGCTGCTGCAGGCAACGTAGAAGTCGGAACTGTCGGGCTCAGCGGCACTGCTGCTGGCACAGGTGCTGCTGGTGCACACAAGGCTGGAGTCGGAACTGCTGCTGGGCTCACCGGCACTGGTGTTGGCACAGCTGCCGCTGGGGCTGCTCTCGGAACTGTCGGGCTCGCTGCCACTGGTCCCGGCACAGCTGTCACTGTTGGGGCTGCTGCTGTTGTTGCTGCAGGCAACGTCGGAGTCGGAACTGTTGTCGGTGCAGGCACTGTTGCCGGCACGGCGGGTGCTGCTGTTGGCGGTGCAGTCGGAGTCGGAACTGCTGCTGCTGGGCTCACCGGCAGTGCTGCTGTTGGCACAGGTAGGGCTGCTGCAAGCAACGTAGGAGTCGGAACTGTCAGGCGGGCCTCCAGGGGCACTGGCACAGCTGTCGCTGGGGCTGCTGTTGCAGGCAACGTCGTTGGAGTCGGAACTGTCGGTCGTCCTGCGTTCGCGAGCTCTTCTGCAGTCGCCGGAAGCGTCTCCGCTGTCGTGGCAGTCGGTCCGCCTGTCGCTAGCTGAGTCGCCGTCAGAGCCGTCAGCAGTGTGGCCGGACTCGGGGTCGGTGTCGCCGGGCTTGGTGTCCCCGGGCTCGCACGGTCTGTTCCTCCGTCACTCTCAGCAAGGCTAACAGAGCTCGTGGACCGGTAGCGCTGCCAGAAGTTGCCGTACCTGGCTTTCTCTGCTTCACTCAAGACCGGCAAGGCGTAGTCATCTTCCTGCATGTCTCACCATGAAAGTACGACCACGAAAGAAAAAGGGTTTATAATGTGTATATATATAGGGTCTTATTCATTATAGGGCTAAAATTTAAGTCAGGGTATTACGGTTCGTAGGGTTTTTCTGGTCACGAAGTCCTTAGAGTCCTTTCTAGCAGCACGAGGCGCCGTTCTGGGGCGTGGAGCAACCGGTGCCACGGCCACTGCTGGCGACGGGGTTGTCGCCGCCGAGCTCTCCAGGACCTACGTACGTAGGATCAGGGTTTGGGCTATTATATATATTTGGATGAAGTCTCCTTGAGTGCGTTTTGGGTTTGGGATTAGGGTCTCTCTCGTACGTTGAATGAGTGAATATATAATAATATGGGGTAGGGAATTAAGGAATTTAGGGAATTCTGGGAAATAGGGAATTCCTTAAATCCAACGCATGGGGCAGGGAATTATAGGGAATGTAGGGACTTTAAGGAAATAGGGAATTCCCTAAATCCAATGGGTAGGGAATTATTAGGGTTTCTTTTATTCGGCCCTACCTTGGAAACACGACCCGCCAGGGTTGCATCCTCAAAGGATGCTGCGTGTGTCAGCTTGGACTCGGCACGAAGTGGGTTCGGCGGGGTCGCAGGTGCCAGGTTGACCAGCCTGTCCAGTTCTCGATCCATGGCCACATCCTCCGCGGCTGTCGTCACACTCAAAACAGAGCGGCTGGAGTCTAACCTCTGCGGGGCGGCGGGTGACGTGCTGGGAGCAGCAGGTGCCGGTGCCACCACTGTCACTTCTGGAGCGACAACAGCAGGGGGGGGCGGGGCCGTGCACAGTTCTGGAGTCGTGGCAGTCCCCTGGGGAGCTGCAGAAGGGCTAGCAACAGTCGAGCTTGGAGTCCCCGGCTGCAGTGTGGCCATCATCGCAGTCCTAACATGCAATATGGTGGGGATTATTATGGTAGGTAAGCTTCACTCGGATGTAGCCGATATCGCAGTATGTACTTGAGAAACCTAGCTAGATAATTGAGATCCAAGCGGCATCTTCTCGCGCACCTTGAGCTGCTGGTCAGCAGTCAACCCCAGCTTCGCAAGGAGGGCCGAGTCGATGGAGGAGGCCTGTGCCTGGGATGTTGCAGACTTATTATTGTCATTAGGAGTTCGACCATGTGCACACAGTAGATATATGTACCCTACTGTCTGTATATGTATTTAGAAGAGCAGCAACCACAGCTGTCGGATCCATGGGCGCAGCTTTGCTAGGTGGGGCAGTCGGTTTACTTTTCCCCATTCGTCCCTCTGAGGGATCAACAGCTAACACAATATACGTTAGCAAGCCTTGAGAATGATGCGAAAAGCCCAGCAGTTGAGCCAAAAAAAAAATTCAAAAAAAAAAATCGAATCCGAGTGAATGCATCATGCAACCTGACCGTCAACAACTGATCAGATGTCGTTCCGAGTAGGTTTCAGTGCATTTATCCATAGTAGGTTGGAAAGGACTATTTTTACGCATTTCTACGCTTTTTCCCCTCATTTCTACGCTTTTTCCCGCGAGGCTTCCGGATGGGTAGCATATGATTTTTTGTCAATCCTGTGTGTTGATTTATCAATAGTAAGTTGGAAAGGACTATGTGTGTTTATGTTGTTTGATTCCTATCCTGTTTTGTTGTCTATTGGTCCATGTAGGATATGAAAGTTAGGAACCGTGAGTGTGTTTGTTGCTTGACGCTCAATAGTTTGGAAGCCTCGGGGTCCAGACCCCAAGAAACTGTCACCATCGGTCTGCTTCTGAGACCACGGATGACTACGGGAAGTCGCTTGGCCACGACTTCGGGAGCTGCAGCTTGCCGCTCGACTGCATAAACCGCACCACGTCCAGCAGCAAAGCCTTCGATGGGTGCCACATTATTCTGATGGTGGGGCACGTTCGTGATTGTGGTGTGGCCCGTATTTCGCAGAGACCGCTGTATGGTTTCCGGGATGCAGGTTCTAGAGTTTAGGGTGTAGGGCTTAGGCTTGTGTGGCTACAGAATTAAAAGGGCACATGCATCAGCTGCTGTATAGCTAGGTAGCTATCCATATCTAGGTCAAGCAACGTCCTCATGCCAGTCTATCGGCTGCTGGAAGAGCAGGGAAATTTGTTCGTTTGCATCGTAGGCGCCGGTGTCGTTATGAATGAAAACATCACTGGAGCCGGCCGCCTCTTCACAGCCCGCACAAGCCTGGCAACCACATTTAGACACGGGTGATGACCGCAAGACTTTCACCACAACCTCTTCAGCTAGACCGAGCTTGTGTAGCACCCCGACCCGATCTTGTTCAAAGGCCTGGCTATACCCACAACGTGAAACCCACTCCCAGCCTGGTCACAAGCGGCTGTCCAACATCGGAGAACTTCTCGGGCATAGTGTGGAGTGTACTGCCTCAGCATGCAGCAGGTCAGGTTGATAAAGTGCCGAGTCCTAGGCTCAGGCGATAAAACGAGAGGGTAAAGTTAATTCACTGATGAGTTTATCAAGATTGAGGTTTTGGGCTGTTGCACGGAAGCTCGCATGAGACGTGCCAGAAACCGCACGGGCCAAAGGTCAAAGTATGTATATCGGTTTATGTGTATCTATATGTGTGTGCACATATGTCTATGTGCAGGCATGTGTATGGGTGTATATATATATGCATATGTATAAATATGGCACTTCTATACATCGCGAGTATATGTGTGTACGTATATATACATATACATGGCACCTCTGCATCCCTGTAAAAAGACGAGATTACATTATGCATATATAGGTAGGTGTATGTGTATATATATATATATTGTAAGTTTCACACATGTATGTATATATGTATGTATGTATGTATGTATGTATGTAAATATATATATATATATACATATATATATATATGTACTGTATTTTCGTACCGCCTTCACTCACTATATGAATGACAATGTGGCGACTGTTGCAATAGTTGAACCAGGGATCCACTACCTTATTAGTATTGGCAATCTTGCGTGACATGCGACAGCCTCCTCGCAAGAGCGCAACAATGATCCTGCGATCCTACACATTCACCCTTTATTCGGAATCATACAATATAAAAATAACCATAAACCCCAATACTAAACAAACGAGCCCTGCACAAACACCTTAGGTCCTTCATGCATGCCGCGCTTCGTCGTGACTTGCCTTTACTACAGAGTGCAGCGGCGACGTGCAAGCGCATTTGGCCATGTTGTGATACTCGTCAGCGATCACGGCATTGATGTTGGGCCATCGAAGAAGCAATAGCTTCGAGAATTCATCACTTCGTCCCTGTAGTTTAGACTACTGCCACTGGCGGAAAACCAAGATTCGAAAGACCATAGTCCCTATGTAGCGTTCATGGTGAAAGTTCTAGGCGATGCATAACGGTAGACACATTCGTACTTCTCAATTAAGGCACCCGAGAACATCGGAACAGGCGTTTTGGGTTTCATTTCATGCACGGCCGGCCATGATACAGTAATAATGGTGGTCGCAATAAAACAGAAAGAAAGTTTTCCTACATGTCTACGTGTAGTTTATTACTTTGGGAATTGCACAATCACACGGCCCACCTAGACCCCGACAGTTCGAGATTAATCCCCAAATCAACACTGTGCTGGGCCCATTGCGGGATCCCACCAACAATAACAGCCAGAACCGTTTTCTATGCTGAATATTGGATTGAGGCTGGCCAAAGGACAAAAGCATTCTTCTGTTGTATGCTATGTCGGTTTTCAGATTTAGCAGGTCATTGAAACCCAATATGCAAAACCAAGGTTGCCTACATGTTTTGGACCCCACCGCGGACAGGCAGGCGATTATTAATAAGAGCTTAAGTTCAGGGTTTTAGGCAGGTTCAGGTGGGGATGATCCATGTGACAAGCCCTACATCCCCAAAAACCCTTAACTCCTCAACCCCTCGACCCCCAAACTCCGTAACCCCAAACTCCTTAACCCCCTAAACCCCAAAACTCCTGAACACCTAAACCCAGTACTCCCTAAACCCCATAAACCCCTATGTCTGATGATGCAGGCGGTGCAGGGTGTGTTTTCTAGTTACCCCAGGATCCTAATAAAAGAACGGCCCCGGCCATGGTATTCAGGATCAGTTGAATAACGAAATTGCATATTTGCGGGGAATATGTAAGCCATGTCCAGGATGATTCTTTTGCCGGATCGGCTCGTTCCAAGATCTTTCAATGCTTCAAAGAGCCGGGTTGTCATTATATTGGGGTTCCACACATATACATATATACATATACATATACAAGCAGAGAGATAAATGGATAGATCGTTAGATGGGTAGATGCGTACGTCGATACGGCTCGCAGGCTCAAGAATGACAGGGTTGATACATACTTTCAGGCGCGGGGAACTACGGATACCGAAAAGGTATGGTTGAGAGCTTATGCTTGGAGGGTCGATGGGTCTGAGTAATTTCAGGTCGGGAGCTAGTAAACATCTAACACCCAGAGGAATTAGTACACATGTTGTCGGGCTTTCGGGGCTTTGGGGATTCTGAAGTCGTACTCGCAACCTTCAAAGAACAGCGAATGGGTTGGGAACTTTTTTTCGACCTATAATTCGAAAATGCAGAAGTCTTGAACTCCAAACCTTGTCCCATACACGATCAGGCGAGATGCTGCGTCTCCTTCACGGCCGTGGTGCCGGTCACCTTCTGCTTGCCCCAGGCCTCGGGTAGATGGATTAATAACTACAGGTATGAACAGTAAATATGTACAATTAGATAATTAGATGAGGGGTCCTCACCGGCCTAAGCTATCCATGCAGCCCAGAGAAAAGTAGGTTCAGTTCGCAAGCTTGGGGCAAGGACGGGTGAATATCACGACCCTGCATGCTTACACTCGGTTCTCATCAATCTCTAGATATGTTTCACCGACACTACGAGTTGCTTCATCCTGATTGCTGCCAAACCTCATCTGTCTCCCTCTTCACAATCTTCTTCTTGACCTTCTTGTAGCCGGTGTTGTCCCCGGACTCCGAAACCCTCGACAGCTCCTGGCATTCTTTACGAGCTGGTGGCGATGGTCTTTGTTTTCGGTTGGGTTTCTGTGCTACAGGCCAAAACGGCAGTCCTTGAAGCATGTGTGGTTGGAATAGAGGTAAGATGGCTTGCTTGTGGGCGCACCGAAGGAACCCATACGAACAAGGAAGCGATAGACCTCAGTCTTGATAAACGTTCACGACTACCTGCTGAAAAGCAATAGTCGAATAAGCCCTCCTGTAGCACATGCATAATCTAAGCAATACAGTTCTGCATGCTGAGAACTCTGCGACATGATCTCGCATCATCTCCTTGAATCGGTCTAGTGATTCCATGCCTCCACTAGCGGCGTGCACCGGCTGCTCCAAGACAAAGCATACGTTCATTGCTCTAGCCAATTTCATCAGAAGGAAGCTCCTGCATCCACAGATATGCATGATAGGGTATTATTGCAGATTGAATCCAGGGGATGTAGCATCAATATCTTACATCACAACTAACTGATCGACTTGATTGTCCTCCTGGCGAGCAAGTTGCCGCAACGAACTGTGTCCCGACATTGTAGACCTTCTGGTAGCATAATGTCACGGCCCGACGTGTACATGTTGAGGAACGAGAAGCTGGAACCTCGGGTACTGCGGCCGATGCAGACAGATCCCAAGCAGCAAACAAATGTTAATCAGAAGAGTATATATATTAAGGTGATATCGTATATTGTCGCCCGGCACCTTAGATAAACCCGATGCACCCGTATATGTTGAAAAAAAACATATAGCGAAAGCCCCATCATGCAGTGCAGACGTGCGCACACGTACACACACACACACACGGAGACACACACACCATCGGTGCAAGAACCTGCATGCTCACCCGCAAACCGCGCCGACACCTCGTGACCTAGTGCCCGAGAGATATATTGCCTTATTGGCTGGACTATAAGTTAACAATATCACTTGCAATGTTCGTGTTCGCCGTGGGAGCAATAGATACCGGAGATTCCAAGCATCATGAATCAACATGTGAGCTAGCGGCATGCGGCCTAATGTAATGACGTGGTAGTTACCATGTTTTGCAAGCCAAACCAAGCATCGCCAATTCTTCCCGGTGCATGGTGCATTGCTCCAGATTGCCCACACCACACATGTGATCACAGATTAGCACTTTGGTCTTGCCGGCACCTTGGCCCCTCCATCGCTTGGGTCAGCGCACTAGCTGTGGCCTTAATATGTGAGTAAGTGGATACCGGGACATGATATCTTGCAACATGTTGCAAGATTATTTGTTGTCACTGTAAACACAGGATTGCTAACTACAGGACTTGCGTCTACTGCGCTGCGTAGCTTCATTTTTCACTCGCCATGTGCCTTATATAGGAGTGATTTGTGTTCATGGTCGGGATCCGGTACTAAACATTTATCATTTAAAAGAAAACTGCGGGTTGGAGAGTAGAGATGTACAGGTTTTGCTGTATGTTTTCTTCATATGCACAGAAACACATATACGGTCCTTTCTGATCAGGTACTCTTCATTTCTCATCGCAAGCTAGTCGGGGAACACCGCAGAGCCCAAACCTGAAATCCTACGAACAAACCGATCCCCTATATAAACCATCGAAAACTCCAAAACCCTAACATACTAAACCCTATAATGACAATAACAACAACCCTGCTTTATAAGTCCATTGTTCTAGAAGTGCCATAAGCCCTCACAGCCCAAAACCCACAAAACCACAAACCCTAAAAGTCTGAATTACACCTAGATACTCTCAAAGAACATGCCAATGCCAAACCGTAACAACAATCCTCGAAAACCCTGTCCCACTGAAAGTTGACAAACCGTGGCCGAACTGCATAGTCCTGAGTCCTGAAGTTAATTGAAGATGCACATCCCCCAGCGTATATATAAAGCAGCCTTATATTATTGAAGGGTACATATATACCAGACAGGATCCTGCGGCGACTCCCACACCAACCCCAATAATGCAGCTATAGAGAGACACTTGCCACAGTAAGATTTAGCGAAGATGCATACTGGCGCTAAAGCCAGCAAAGCTCCTCGGCGAAGCCGACGTACATAAGCCAGCGCCAACCTGAGACCAGGACGACTCCACGGACAACCCATGCACACTGTGGACAAAGGACGGCTTATACTTATATTGTTGGGGTCGAGGCAACGTGGCGTTGCTTCTAAGTCTTATACATATGGTCCTAGATCTGATGCTGCCGAAATTCCCGAAACCTCTGAAATGCTGGCAGAAAAACAGAAACCCCCACGGCGCACTCAAGTCGTTGGTGGCGGAATAGTCCAAGTCGAAGCCTCTGGAGTCCAAGTTCTGCCTCTGAGCCTCCTGGACAATAGCCTGAGCTTTTGACAAGATTGGGGTTCAGTCCACTTACAGGATGAATCATTTGGGCAAGAAGTGTAGAAACTGTGTAGTGGCTGTTCGTATAGGCTACCGATCGAGTAGCTGCCACACCAGCGAAGACTTCGAAGACGTCAATATTCTGAGATCTGCGTTCCTGCTTTGATATTTCACCATTATTCATCTGAGCATGCCAGGCAACATGCACTGCAAGCCAAGACACGAAGCCCTGCATGAAACACATCATCATGAGGATCACACATAGTGCTCTGGGCCTGAGCAACAATATTGTCCCTATAGTAACTATGGGAATTACTTGATGCAGACCGTTTAGCACATTATTGGCTGAGTCATCGACACACCACGGGCCAGTAGCTCTGGAACCAATGGTCGTGGACCATTCATGATGGGAGCCACTGCTAGAGATCCAGCTGGATCAGAACGGACTGCGATTAGAAAAAGTCTACTTGCAAAAGTAGATGAACGGACTTCGAAGGAAATAGCTAAGAACTCTACGTATACACAAATTGAACAAAAACATGCCTGGGTGCAGGCAGGTGAACTAGATAAGATCCTACCCGCACGGAACAATAAGCCGAAATGAAACTTAACCTCGCGACGATGAAACCCAGCACGGACGATCTGCATCATGAAAAATCAGCATAGGCCCTATACCTGCAGACGGACCTGCTCATGGAAGGGTCCCCGAGTTCCACGGATTCGGGGCGTGTTTTTTGGCTCCCATGTTGCAGTCCAGCTTCAGAGTCGAAAGTCGAGCCCCGGAAAGATGAATAATTAAGCTGGATGCACCGAAAGTGATGGTTTCCATCATCCAGGTCTGCCGTGCGCACCACGTACATGCATGTCCCGAAAAAGACAGGACACATACGTTGAAAACTAAAGCCCCAAAAGTAGCACAGGCAGATGGGTACTTGACTGCCTGTAGTGCACCCACTGCCTCACTCGAAGCGTCGTCGCTTGCGTTGTTCCGGGGTCAGCTGCTCGATCAAGACCCTGGCAGCATGTGGTACGTCAGGACACTATTGTCATATCGGCCGGTCCATCTCCGGCTACGATTCTCGGCCAACATCTAGGCTCCACAACACCTCTATCATAGAATCGGGGATGTATGTATCCTGCTCCAGGAGTCAAACTTGAAGCCAGGATTTGGGATCTGGTTAAGTATGTGCATTAATATTTGATCAAGCTCAATAATGAGGCAGTTCGTTTTTGTGCTTTAGGGCATTTTTGGTTCAGGATAGTTGAGCTGTTGCAACTCAAAGCAACTTAAAAACATAACCTCGGAATTACATACAGTGGCTTCTAACAATTATAATTTCATCCCTTTCTTGTCCTGCCACGTACATACATTCCCCCAAAAACCTCAAAACACCATATCCTCCCTCGCGTTTCTTAATTAATCGCCGCCTGACGAAGCCACACCTTTTGCTATGTTGGGGTCGACCTTATTCTAATTCGGACGATATAATATAGAAGCTGCTATTTGTGTGGAGAACCAGAATAAGGTTGAACAAACTGAAGGCCTGCAACATAAGAACTATATATACGTGATACTCTGAGATACTATAATGACATAACTTCTAGTATATTTGTTCTAGCACCAATAAACTAGGCCAAAACCCCAAACCCTCGCGGTGAGAACCCTGTATAATGGGAGTTGCGGGCAAGGCTCGCACGGACGCTCGATTGCTTCCACATAGCCAGGGCATCCTTACATTCTGTTGCGCGAACATGACGGAGAACTGAGCTGTCATGTCTTCGTACTCGAGTCAACAATAACAAAGAAGACAAGTACCCTGAATGTGCCAGCCGGAACACACGGTGTGACTTGTGGTGCTCATCCTTCGCAATCCTGCCCAAACGATGCGACCTCACATCCCATAATAATGCACCGTCTACACGAACAGTCCTCATGAACTCGGTGTAGGCGATCCACAGGGGCCCGTTCTCTTGCTGCTTCGGCTGCTTCGGCTTCTTCTTCTTAGCCTGGCCGTCATACAGAGTTCAGTCTATGTATATTGTCAAGCTTGGCATGTAGCAGCTCCTGCTCTCCTCGCTCTGGGCTCGTCTTGCCATTCATCCTACCTCGGTATATATAGACAGTAGAAGTACTAAAGATCAATAATGCGAATGCAGCAGGCACTGCGGCTACTAGTATACAAGGCACGCAGAGGCGGCGAACCATCAGTAGCAGCCCCATCAGCAGCAGCTTGTCCTCCATCGCCAGAAGCAACAAGTAAAGCACTAAGCCCCATGCAGCTCAACGACATTCTGAACTATAGTTGAGGTGCCTGGCGAATCGGCGGAATCATCTCCGTTGGCCTGCAGAAACTCATCGGCGTCGTCGTGCTCCTCACCTCCTGCATGGCGCCACAACCTACCAACCCCATTTCAAAGGCAACCCCGTTAATTAAGTGCCACATCCCCATAATGTCTCCCCGCTAGAGCTAGATGAACATACATATGTAACACATATTTATATATGTATATGTATATAAATATAGACCGAAACACACAATCCCGAGTTAATGACTATAAGGGGTTTCTATGGTGATACGGGCACCCCGAATTGTTACTATGGGCGGATCGACCAGCCATGTCGGCAACCTTGAACGTGTCTATTCTTGAAAAAACCAAGTGCATGAACCCTTAGCCCTCAAGCTGAAATATTCGAGCCCGCTATGAGTATAGCTTACATATACGACCTCCTTAGATTATTCTCCCGAACATCTGAAGATTCCTGCTTCCAGCATGGCGGGTGAGCACCAAAAGAGAAGGCTTCTGTATGTCGTGGGATGTGTATATTCCGGGTCGCACGAAAATTACAGGACCCCATGGACAATTATTCGGGCTCAAGAATAAAATAAGGTCTATATAATAAGATCGATTGGGGCTTATTTGTGGAGCGACTGCCTTCTTCATCAGCAAGAGCTTCCTGAGCATTGTCATCGTGGTCCGGTTCGTACTCTCCCAGGAGTCCTGCGGCAAAATGAAAGGTTACAC